AGCAACGCAAACAGAGCTACACAGAGATAAACTGATACTGGCTCTTGCACTGGGAAAGTCATTATAGTGCACACGCAGGGGCTGAACATTAAAGGTGGTCAAATTGGCATCTCCCAGACATGAAATATTATTCTGCGGTATGCAGCTCTACAGTATAACCCCCTTTTCTATCTAGTTCTCTTTCCAAAATCCTTTTATTGGCGTCCCACTGGAGCGTAATGTGGAGCTCCAGTGTTCTTCCGATGATAGAACAACTTCTTGAAACAAATTGAGAAACTCCACCTTAACCCTCAAATTCTGCCCCAGTGGCAGTGAGGATAAAGTATTCAGCGCTTTTCTTTAGGTAACAGTAGCTATACCACAAAGTAAAAGTAAAAAAGCAAAACAAAATGTATATGTGTATCAATAGTAGGAGTACACATCAAGCAGAATGAACCTGTTTAGATTAAATACACTGTATACATTGTATAGATTATATACACACACATTGCAGCATCTATAACAACTAACAAACCTAAACAAAGCAAAACATTTCACTCTTAAATGTAATAGAAGTATAAAGCCCTGGTGTGGGAAGTATTCATATCATTTACTAAAGCAAAAGTGGCAGTACAACTCTGTTACTAGTGCTTCATTCCAAATTTTACTAAAGTAAAAGTGTTTAAAAATGTATTTAAATGATTAAAGTAAACCTACTCATTATGTAAAATGGCCTCTGTCAGTGTTATTATTGCACCACTGGATTATTGATACATCAATACATAAAGGGTACTTTGTTATTGTGGTCAAAGTGGTAGTTTGAACTAGTTTAATCTATAACAGGCATTAATAAAGATAATTTGTTATGTACTGTATGTAAAATATTCATCTTATAACTGCAGATGATGAATTCATATAAGCAGGCTACATCTGAAATACTCAAGTACCTTAAAACAGTATTTATGTACAGTGCTGCTACACTGCTGACAAGGGAAAAATATATTTTTTTTTACATCCAACAACAAAAACGTGTTATTTACAAAGAATATGGGGAAAGTTTTTAAAACGTTACAAATTAAGTGAACAGTTCAACAACAGTGGTTGCTCCGTGTATCAGAGTGAAATCTACAGGAGCAGAGAAGCAGTTTGTTGTGGATTCCTAAGTGAAATGAACCTTCTCATATCGGATGAAAACTCTGAAAGGTTTGCCAAAGACAAAGAAAAATCTCCTGCCAGCTCTCTCTGACTGTTTCCACATGGCAGGCAACAAGACCCCACATCCTGTCCTGTTTCCGTTCCTTGTTAAAGTCAGAGTAAACGCCTGAACTGCCGCACACCAAACACTGGTAACACGTGTCTGAGACGGGTTAGTTTTCATGGCAGATGCAGAGGTAAGAACTTTAATTCTGACTTCAGATGACAATCCAAGTATTTTACCAGAAAGACTAAAAGTTTACTCTCTGAGGTGCCAGTTATTCCTCCAGTGTTTTACAGAGAAACCCTGCTTTACTCTTTGCTTGAAAAATGAAGGTTGTTTCATTCATATAAATTTTCAGATGGCTGAAATACAGGGATGAACCTTGGTTTAAATAAAATGCAGGTGTGCATATATGAGGCTGTTTTTTTCAGCATTTTAGATGCGTTCAATTATCTTTATTTGCATGCATCAAATTCCTGCAGCTGTGCTCAATTTTAGTTTTTACAGAACCACAGGTTGCTTGTTTTATAAATGACTGAAAGTTGTTCCAGATAAATGAAGACTAGTAATAAAAATATCATTGAGTGAAAACACAGAAGATGATTTTATATCTTGGCCAAGCACGCAACAAAACATACACAGGGTGATGGTTTTAAGGAGAATACCTGACATAACACAGCTAACAGGCTATCATGTGTCTTGTACAGTAGATCCACTTCAGACAGTGGATGAGCTGTAAGATTACGGATTTTCTTTCTCTGTCAACACGTCTCATTTTTAGACACACAGGGCCCTGGTGGGCTACAGGGCAGCCACAGAGCTGAAGGAACACAGCCTTCCAACTGAACGAACTAATAGCATGTAGGCTGCTGTCTGCCACTGAGCATTGCACTCTGCAGCAGGCAGGACCGGTGGAGCAAGAGAAAAGACCGGAGGATGGAGATGAGGATCATCCAAGTCTGAGACCTGCTGCGGCAGGCACACAGAGAACAGCACAAAAGACATATTGCTATTCAGACAGAGAGAGCAGATTTTTTTGAGACTATGTATCCCTGTGTGCCTGCCTGAGGGGTACACACAATATTATGAGAAGGATTTGAGTTGACACAAGTCACAGTCGCTCTATCGCCGGTGTGGAGGAGGCGGGATGAATTATTCAACCAGCCGGCGCTGCTCAGCTCTGACATCTTGTTGTGTGTTACGGGGAGGTGAAACGAGCCAACAACAAGCAGCACCTCCTCACAAGTCGGCCGTCACATGACAGCCCCAGGATAGAGCATCCAAGGAACCTCGATTTTCCCGAGGACAGGGCATCATTTCAGAGAGCAGCAGCAGAATAATAGCTCCCTCTCAAAATGACAGCCATCGCTGCGGCACACCATCACAGATTGCTGGTCTATCACTCCCCACACACAGGATGAAATGACAGCCCAGCGCCGGTGACAGAAAGGCATCTCAGCCTGAGTAGGTGTTCCTTCTGGCTTAGCCCGGCTTTGATGTGATTATACCGTAGCAGTGCAATATTCAGCTCTGAGATTCACTACCTGCTGCTGAGGGTGATCTCTTAAAGCTCAGTGTTTGTGGAGCTGAGAAAATGGAAGACTGAAAAAATATGGAACAGGAATGCTTGAGCTATTCTGTAACATCTCTTCCATCAAGCAAAAAGTCTATTATTCAAGAGCAAATGTAGGACACTAGTGTTATCAAAACAGACTCGACGACCATCTCTCTGCTCGGGTGGAGAATTATGTTTCAGAAACATGAACAACTGAGGGAATAAAGTGCTTTGTGCTTTCTTTCTTTGCTCTTCAGCAACCGAGCAGTGAGTAATCTAAATGTTTACCCTTAAAACAGGATTACTGTGTCACGGCTGCTAGGATTCAGCAGTCTGCTCTCAGTGCACAAACAACTGTTAACAAAGAAATAGATATCATTCATAGATCCATCAGAAGCCATAAAAAGATGAAGGTGCATCTTGTGGTGTAACTTAGTCGTTTATTTTAATTCCACAAATTTTTCAAAAAAAGAAAATTACAAAATACTCAAATGGAGAGAACACAGGACTCACAATTTTTCTTATTATTTCTACTTTTTGTTTACATTGTGTCATCCCATGGCGACTACTCATATATACAATAAGCTTCAAGATACCAGTATATATATAAATCTTAGCAGTCAGAATTTACATTCTGCTATTGCCGCTTTGAAACAAGAAGCTAAACCATTGACAACACTTAACATCAAAGGATTTGGAGACACAAAAAGAGGGAGTAAAAGGCAAGGAGATCGTCAGGAAACGAGGCAACGATGAGGAGTATGTCATCAGAAGAGACAGGAGTCGTGGGAGATGGCAAGACAGAGCGACAGGGAGCTGTTGGGGATTAAAAGACTTTTTTGGATTTTTAAAAAAGGGCATGAGTTTGAGGATGTTTGCAAGCATCTGAATGTAAATTATAGTGCACCAAGAGAGGTTATGGTCACTTTTAAATGCAAATAGAATACAAGTTTCTTCATTTGGTTAAAATGAAAAATATTATAAAATTTTCTAAAGCCACAGTTTTCTATATGCCCATGACAGCTGAACAGTTTTAGTGCACGGGACAAACGCTGAACTCATGTCAAGGCTAAAACAAAACAAAATAAAACATAAAAACAAACAAACCAAAAACCTGGGCTCATGTGCACTGGTATGACAGATCAACACTACTTGTAACAGTCAGTGGCACACATAAACAACACCACTTCAGGAGGCCCAGGAGGCCATACGTATCCCAAAGGAACCAAGGCATTAAAAAACATGTACGAGTAGCATGTGTACACACACACACACACACACACACACACAATCATCAGCCCTCTATTTTCTGGTGATCACGTGTCGGCAGGCCCCCTCTAGTGTCATTACAGCCTAGCTGGAGGATGACTTGGTTGGATTTAAGGCCTGCAACAAACATGGCACCAACTCTCGACCATTCACACATTTATAATAAGTCCTGTTAGGCCCCTGTTGTACTGAACAATGTTAAAATCAGTTCCCGATAAGAACCCAAAGTGAGTTTCAATTTCTTCAGCCCTGCCAAATGTGTTTATTGTCCACATTTAAAAAAAAATAATAAAATTCATTAAAATCGTTCTCTGTAAATACAAAAATGTATTAATCCATTTGGTTGACTTAAATATTGATTTCAAGAAAAAGGGTAACACCAACTGAGTGGAGCTCAAAGATATTCTCAGTGCAAACTCAGTTTATCTTGTGAATCCATGGCTTCAGTGTGCACTCCACTGAAGCTTCAGTGGCTGCTGTGTCACCTCTTCAAGTGTTTCACGTCATTGACTCGACACAAGTTTACACATTCTCACAACCCACTGCGCGTCAATGGCGAGTGATGAATGGATGCGGTGGCTCTGACAGATTTATGGTTTACATAGCGAGCGTGGGACTAAACTGAACACCGTGATGTCAGAGGAACGTCACAACTGAACTGCAACTCTCTCACAAACTGCTCATATAATGCCATGGTGCTCCCCTCTGAAACAAGGGATAATGCTTCAAAACAATTATACTGTAGGTTGAAACGACTTGGTTTGGAGTCCACACCTAGGAATAATAATAATTATAATAATAATTATATGTTTATATATACTATTTACAGACTCAAAAACGCCATGCTGTAGCTTCTCCTAAAATTATGAAAAACCTCCAACAATGTATTAAAATAAATGTTGAATTTAAGATAGCACTTGTTATTTTTCCATAAATGGCCTGTCGTCTTAATTTTTTTTTTTGTCAGAAATAAATCTAATATCACAAACACTTCACCACAAAAAAAAAAAAAAAAAAAGCCAGGGGAACTTGTCATGCAGGAGGTCTTGTGGATGTTGTCACTACTGGCTAAATATCAAAGAAAGTCAATGTCTTGAAAAATAATTAAAAAACTGTTCTTGACAGGAAAAAAAGAAACACAAATATATCAGAAGAATTTTTAGACAATCCACTTGGCCTTTTTCGTTCTTCAAAACCGAATGTGTTCAGAGGACCCGGGAGAGCCTGTCCTCTGTAACAACCTCCTGTGTCCTGCACCTGTCAGTCGCTTCCTTGGCTGGTTACAGCTGCTTGTCACTCTCCTTCTTCAGCCGGCTGTAATGAAGGAAACACACCAAGTATTAACAATGGGAAAATCAAAGGCACACACTCACATTATATGAATGTTTCATAGTCTCATTTTTGACCTGTAGTAGTCCTCCTGGCCAGGCAGTGGTCCTCCGTGCATGTGATGGTGTCCATGGAGCCACTGCTGCTCCATGGCCAGCCTCTGGAGCTCAGCTGACTGGGCATGCATGGCCTGTAGCTGGTGGGCTGCAGACATGGGTGGTGGCAGACCTCCTGGTAGGTCCCGTGGGTATGGGGTACCTGGAGGAGGAGCAAGCAAAAAGACTTAATCAGGTGGTCTGGCAAAGCTCAGACTGTTAGCTTGAACATGACTGTATTGTTAATGAGAGCTGATATTGGCTGAGACATTACCGAAGACTGGGTGGCGCAGCATCTCGTGTTCATGTGGCGGCTGGCCGAGGAGAGGGTTGGGGATGGCGCCGGGTGGGTAAGGGAAGCGGGCCAAGTGAGGTCCAGCTGCCAGGGGATCTACTGCCAGTGGGTGGGCCCCGGAACCTGGAGGACACACAAGACATTCACCACCACCTTCTGGGTGTCAGAGTCTTAGGGTCAGGGCACACTCATATCAAGACATTGCATTATACAGGCATTAATGATACACATAATGCTACTTCTCTCAAGGCTGACCTAAAGAGTGCAGTAACTGCTTTTCAATATTTATCTACTGCTTTAAGCCAATCTCATATGTCAATGCTGTACATTTCAGCAGAGAGAATAAAATGTGAGGTAGAGTTTCAGATCATATGGTAATCATTTTAAACTAGAAAACATCAAAGTGGAATTAGTCCCTTTTGCTCACTCTTTACTGTGATGAGAGAAGTATTATAACTGATTTACATGCAACTTCATTAAATTACAGAACACCAACTGATACCCTCTACTGTATATTAAAAAGACACTTAAATAATATTAACTTGCTAAAAAGATGCTTTTCAAAAATATTTTGATTGTGGCACAAATTCAAAAACTTTATATTTTTAATGCCCCCATTAAAAAAAATTGACCCTAGCATCCATTTTTGTTTTATCCAAAGTCTTCATGCTATTTCTGTTTGGATCCAAAAACTACAGCATCTTGAATCAGTTACAGTTAAACTGTGGAGTGCCCCAAGGTACTATTCTTGGTCCTCAGCAATTTTTGAAATGTATTTACTAGTGTTTAAAATAGGTCTTTGGCTTTTCTTGTGCCAATACTAAAAACCTCCCTTTACATATCAAAATGTGTAATTATATAAATATTCACAAAAACACCAATACCACACAAAACAGTCAAAACTAGGCTAAAAAATACATTCATTTACAAAATTCACTGTGATAACTATATATAAAAAAACCAATGCACAATCAAACATGCTGAATGTGTCTGTAAAGGAGCATGGACAAACTGTATTACTGGGAACTTTGAGATTTATTAATGAATTTTCCCACTTATAAATTACAAAATAACCACAACTAAGAATCACAAGGTGATTTATTTCTGCCTCAACTGCTATTTGGCACTAGGTGTACAAGGCAGGCAGTGCAACGTTTGAAAAATAGTTGCAAGAGAGCAAAGAATATTTTTCATAAAGTCAAACATGATGGATTTGGTTCTCTTTCTGTCATTACAGCTTGTCATGTAATCTAACTGATTCCTGCTACTGGTTAACGCAGCTTAGTGAGGAAAAGGGAGTGCCTGGTTTGATGCAAGGCATCTTCCTGCTAATGCAAACACGGCAGAATCATTGTCAAATGAGACTGAGATCATACAAGGATCTAAATCACGTGTCAAACTCAAGGCCCACGGGCCACATCCGGCCCACGAGATCGTTTTATATATTTTTTTAATGGCCCGGCGATATGAAGCGCCGATAACACACAAACTACAAATCCCATAATGCAGTGCAACAGCTGCCTTACCGAACGATAGGCTACGTGCGATCATTCCAACGTCAATTACGTCAGATCAATCAAGTGTCTGTTGATATATACAACCCTAAATTCAAGTCAAAGCTAGCCCCTAACAATGGCCAAGAGAAAAGTTGATTCTGAAAACAGAGCCTTTGAAAAGAGTATATGTTTACTGACATTGCCGGTAAACCCGTGTGTCTTATTTGTGGAGCTAATGTGGCTGTAATTAAGGAATATAACCTAAGACAGCACTACGAGACAAAACATCAGGACACGCTGAAAAACGTGAATGCAGAGCAGAAGCTACAGAAGGTAGAGGAGTTGAGGAGGAATCTGACATCACAGCAGACGTTTTCACCAAAGCGAAATCACACAGTGAAGCTGCTGTGAAAGCAAGTTTTATTGTGGCAGAGGCGAAAATCAGCCCGGACATTTACCGAGGGAGAGTTTCTAAAGAGCTGCATGATGAAAATGTGCGACGGCTTGTGTCCAGACAAAAAGCAGGGGTTTGCAAATGTAAGCCTTAGCAGAAATACGGTTGCTGATTTTAAGTTCAAGTTTATTTATTTTGCAATAATATTGTATCCTGTCTGTTTCAAATCATATTTATGTTCAAAAAATGTTTAGTTTTAGTCTGTTCAATAAATGTGTATCCTGTTCGGCCCGCGACCTAAAGTGTGCTTTGAGTTTTGGCCCCCTGTGCGATTGAGTTTGACACCCCTGAACTAAATCATGCTCACAAAACGATGTATCATGCAACCCTAGAAGCTAATATTATTGGGAATAAAATAAACTGCTGTGACAAAATGGTTGCTCTCATACAAAGAAAAAAGTACAAAAATATTAACATTACTCACAAGTAACTGTTTGTTACTGCTCATCATTTGGCAAAGTTTAGTTTCCCCAAAACAAAACAATTTTTAGGACTAAAACTGTTCCAATTCATTATAAATTTCATTGGTTGAACAGTAACTTTAACAGTGATACAGTGGCATTGATTTATATAAGCAGGGCTTTCGTTTACCTTGGTGAAGGGGATCTTGCTGGTGAAGGTGGAGATGCGAGTGAATATGCGAATGCTGGTGGTGGTGCGGCGTAACATTGAACATCTGTAGACGAGCAATGGGGTCGTTGGCCACTGTGGCCATCCGCTCAGCATGGAGTCTCTCTGCAGCCAACCTCTCTGGGTAGCTCATTTCAGGCCGCAGCTGGGGCCCAGCGAGGGCCAGCCGTTCACGCTCCAATGGGTTCAGGCCCGGATGGAAAGATGCGAAATGGTGAGGGCCAGCCATGGGGGGCAACGTGATGGGACCATGCCGGGCAAAGTGCTCCATTGGGTTTGTAGAAGGGTGGAGTGTGTCCATCTCTGGAGGTTTAACCTCAAATCCAGGTTTCATCCTTTCCCTCAGTTCCCTCTCGCGAATTTCCCTCTCACGCATCTCCCGCTCTCGCAGCTCGCGCTCCCGCATGGCTGGGTCAGCGTTATACAAGCTGGGCATGTGATAGGCCAGCAGCGGGTCCGCAGGGTTGAGGGACACAAAAAAAGGGTGGTTTCGATTGGTGGGGGACATGACGTGGGGGCGAGCGTACTCGCTGAGGGTGCGCAGGGCAGGGGTATCAGGGCCAATGTAGGGAGGCACAGCTGCAATCGTAGTGGGGGGGCCGTCAAAGGGAGGACGCATGTGGGCAGGGCCGGCCATCTGAGGTTCACCCATTCTGCTTTCATGAGAGGAACTAGAGGCTTTCTGTGAAGGAGAAATACCATGTTTAGTAAGATTCAAAAGAAAAAAATATAACCGCTGCCAAACAAAAGGGTGACAAAAGGAACCACTCACCGCAGCTCGCTCTGCTTCCTTTTCTCGTTCCCGCTCCCTTTCTCGCTCTTTTTCCCTCTCCCTCTCTCTCTCCTTCTCTTCTCTTGCTTTCTGTTCTGCTTCCCTCTTGGCTTTCTCCAAAGCTTCCTCTCGCTTCTTGGCCAGTTTAGATGAAGCCAGAGGAGTGAAGTAGAAATCTGTCCTAGCACACGAGTTGTAACCCCGGTCCAGATGCTTGTAGAACCTGCAGTCAGAGTAGAGAAAATTCACATAAAAAACATTCGACATTTACTTGGAAAAACCAGCTGATGATCTAGTTCATAACTTTATACTCAGTATAGGCTGCAGCCATGATATTGCTGTTTAATTTTGCATGCTGGCAAAATAATGTCCCATTAGATGAAATTGTATTATCTTACACTGGTCCATTATTTAAAAGGAAACAAACTCTCCTAGCATTCACGTTTGCTGCTACACTGAGTATGCATTAAGATTCTCATTGTTATTCATTGGCAGCCTGAGAGCCACTTAAGCACAAAGCAACTATAGATACTCATATTCAGATGCCATGGTTCAGTCGCATCTCATTGTAATTAATCTCGCTGCTGCTCATCCACGATAATTCCTAGTCATCAGCCACTCAGAGCTCAAGGCTGAATGTGGCATTGGATTCCTGTTCTGCTAAGGCTATTCAATTTGTTGCCTACTTCAAAGCCATAAAACCTGAAGAAAGAGGCTCTTTGTTGTTGGATGTGTCTGAGAGCTAATCAGCATCCCCAGACATGACAGCAGCTCAACAGGCTACCGATAAATAACAGCCTGTGCAGGTGTATGTTGGTCTATTTTTGAGATACTGTGGGTAGAAATTGGTGTTTGGAGACATACCGTGCTGACTGGCTGGCGTGGCTTGGAGTATTGACGACAGTGGGCTCTTGCACAGGTGGGAGTGCCGGGCCTGGGCCGGCACAAGTGACTGAGGCAGGGAGTGGCATGGAGATGGAGGAGGATGGAGTGGAGGAAGATGGAGGCTGTAAGCCAGGCATAGCGTTTGACGAGGATGGGGGAGGGCCAGTTGGAGGTAGAACTGTACTGAAAGCATGAGACGAGAACGCTGGATGCGGTGGGCCGTCAGGGTGAGAGGCCGCTGCGGAGGGCGGCAGTGGAGGAGCTGGAGGGGGTTGATGGCTGGCTGATGATGGGAGGCTCTGGGACTGGGTGAGAACTGGAGGCTGAGCTGGGGGAGGCTGAAGCTGCTGCCCCTGGGGCATGAGCTGAAGGGGAGGCGGGTGTGCTGATGGAGGATGATGGGTAGATAAAGAGCTGAGGGGCTTGAGGGCAGGTGGTGGAGGCAGGTTTGAAGGCATCTGAGGGAATGGAGGGGCAGACAAGTGGGGTGGGTGTTTGTGGGACAGTGGGTTGGGTATCTGAGGGATGGGTGTGGTTGGTGGGGGCTTGATGTGAGGCATGGGCATTGGGGCAGGTGGCAGGGGCTGCTCTCTGGGAGGCTGGCCTCCACTCGGTGCAGATGACTGGGACTGAGGAGGAGGCGTGTGTGGCCTCTGCTGTGATTGGCCAGAGATTGGTGGGAGTGGGACCTGAGTCTGGCCTACAGGGAAGCCCTGAGGGGGCATAGAGTGAGGGTGAGGCATGTGTGAGGGACCAGGCTGCAGTGGATGTGGCATGGGAGGCATGGGACCATGATGTGAGGATGGAACCGGGGGGCCAGGAGGCGGAGCCTGAGTCATAGGTGAATGTGGAGAGGGAAGCCTTTGAGGGTGTAGGGATACTCCTGACTGGATGATAGACATTGCGCCTGTCTGGGGCAGAGGCTGGGAAGGTAGAGAGGAAGAGGCCACTGTGGAGGAGACCTGTGGGGGCAGTGAGGGGGCTGAGGTCGTAGAAGGAGGAGGTGCTGCAGAGGCAGCTGAAGTGCCTGGCTGACACTGGATAACCGGAGGGTGCTGGCTCTGCAGCAGCTGCTGTTGCTGGGCAGAGGAGTCTGAGTCGCTTTCATTGTCCTGGGGGCTGGGGATGCTTGGGGAGGAACTCCGGTTATCTTGGTCAATGTCTTTAGGATCGCTACTAAGTTCCTCATTGATGCTTCGCCCATCAGAGCTCTCGCCCTCTCCCTCCCCTTCCCCTTCGCATTCTGAGGGCGAGTCGGGCCGACTCAGCTCCTGTGATACAGAGGAGAGAGAAAGATGAGTATCATGACACCAAGTATGCATTCCACCCAAACACATATAGAAGAAAAAACCAAAAACTGCAGACTCACTTGTGTTTTAGACTTTTTGGCACTGGCCCTCTCGGACTCCTCTGTATCTGAGACTCCCTTTTCTCGTTGCCGTTTGGTACTCTTCATAGGTGAAGGAGCCTCCTCTTTAATTTTCTGTGGAGATAAAGCAAAAGAGCCCTTAGGGTACATTTCACAGAGATGTGTGCATAGAAAAACAAGGTCTTAATGAATCTAAACTGTCTTTACCTTGCTTGGCTTCTTCATGGACTCTGTCTTGCTATCAGTACTGTCAGTACTTGCCGCACTAGGTGAGGTACGTCCGCTGGAGCGCAAATCCTCGTTGGTTGGCGAGGCTCGGCCATCGGGACTGGCTGTCTGCTTCTTACGACCACTACGTAGAGTTGACATCTGTTGACAACCAAACAGGCTCGACATAAATCATGACATATTTTAGAGCTTCAAGTAATTTGGATAGATGAATTTAAGATGGACATACACTATATATTACAAACTCATTTTGATTGCTTCCATCAAATCAAATATATGAAACAATGCTCGCCAAAGCTGTCCCTGTAGAGATGCTAAGCTTATTGCTTTGTAGTCTGCATTACTCCAGCTGTAACTGGAGGTTATGGTTCCTGAAGGTGAAAATAGAGGAATAGATGTGGAGCAGCAGCGTGTGCGCACCGAGCCTCGGTTCCGTCGAGTCCTCATGCTATGCTTCCCGCTGAGTCCATCCTCTTCCTCTTTGACAGGTTTGAACATAAATGGCGGCGGGTCCACAGGCTTCTCAATGGGGGGCAGCTCACCGTACTTCTTGAAGTGAATGCGGCAGTCTGTGCACAGCAAGATGTTCTCCCGGCCCCCGTGGTGCCAGTCCTTCGAGGCTGAGAAAAGCCATTTACAGTTGTGAAATAACACATTCTCACAGTTTGTGAAAAGTACAAACACAAAGAAATTCTCGCAACTACAGTGATACTGCCAAAATACACCTCTAATAAGATAACTTGCAATTTTAAAGCAGAAGCGGAATCAATGAGAGTATACAACTCTGTGCTCTAAATCATTTTTGTACTCAAGCTTTGTATAATATACTAACAAGGTCTATATGGCTTAACATTATAAAGCCAAAGTTAATTAGCCAGACTTGTTGTGATGGCAGTGTGATCAGATGGGAGCCTGGCACTGAGAGCCAGCTGTGTGGAAAGAGAGAAAGGATAATGAGGAGGAGAGAGTGAATGAGCTGTGGGCTCATGTTTGATTTGATCAAATTAGTCCTGACATCTTCTGATGCCCATCTGTCACACAGCACTGTGTTGTTCAGGCTCACCCTGATCCCAGTCAGGACAGGAATAACCTAGCAAGTCCGTATGACAAGTGTCTGTAAAAGGAAGATGGTGTCTTACTGGTAGTAAAACAGTGGCGGCAGGCGTATCCCTTCAGCTCCTGTTCGCTGTCTTCACTGTCAAAGTCATCTTCACTGGCTGAGCTGAGGTCCACTGGAAGAGAGAGAAACAAACCCACTTCACAAATATTGGTCTAACAGCAAAATATATTGGGTCATGCCACCCTCTTTCCTCCTTGACTGTGGACAAATATACATACAGAACTCGCTGGAGGGCGGCCGCGAGGGAGTGTTGACAGGAGTTGAAGCGGTTCGCGTCTTGATGCGGCGGAAGACGGGCTGGCGGCGGTGTCTGCGGTGAGCTCGACAACTGGCTGCCTCGGGGGTCTTTTTCCAATAGTAGTAGAAGGTAATTAGCTCTCCCTAAAATTAAACACAAAAGGAATGCTGTTTAAACAGGCAAATATATCACAAGAACATAAACAAAATGCATTTGCAATGAGGTCAAGGTGTGACTTGACTTTACAGAGGTGAGTGAATAAAAAGGAATCGAGGTGTACTTGTCAAAGTTGTTGACAAACTGTAAAACAGTCACTGTGAAATAGCTGCAGTTAGGTTGAATAAAATATGCGGAAAAACAGACATTAGCAGTCGACATAGAATTTCACAGTGAAAGGCCGGGTCGCTCCATGCCAGGATTTGTAGGTGGCCGGACATGTTTGTGCTGCGGCCCTGTCTGTCCCAGGATTAACCAAGGAGGCTCACTGAATACAGGGATATTAGGATCAGTGCATTGGTGGCTGGCTGGGTGGCAGGAGCTTGAATGGGAACAAAAGAGCATGTCAGGCAGAGCTTTGGTGCTACAAATAGGGAGTGAAATGGCTCCTCACGCCTTCACTGGAAGAGTCAATTGAACTTTAATCAAACATTCGGAGGGGCGCGCTCGCAGCGAGCGAGCTGGATAAATCCAGTGTACAAAAGGTCGCCAGGAAATCAATACCCAACTGAAACATTAACACATGCAATCATGGACCAGAAAGCGCTTTGCCGAGGAAGCCTGTGCATAGTAACTGCTGCTTTCTCTGGCCATACTCATAATAGGCAACAGGAGTCAGGGACAATAATGTACAATAGCTTCCTGTGGGGCTTTTCTCCCCCTCTGTGAACTCTCACTTGTTACTGGTCCTCCACTAGCTCCATAACAAATTCATGAAGGTGTGGTGTCGGGTGAGCAGTAAGTCACCTGTAATCTTTAAAGCACAGCAGGCAGCCATCTACTGTCTGAAGTCTGTTAAACTGCTGTTCAACAAAGCTCCCAGGGTTTAATGGCTATTGATTGTTTTTCCTTCTCCGCTTCAGCTGAGAAACTTGACATAAATTAGTCAGGGCATTGCTCTCTAAAATGCATTAACAGCTTTTCAGCAACAGCTAAACATCTTCTATCAAAATGTCCTGAAACAAACACTGGTGGACAGCTCTAAATAGCTATAAAGAGCTTCTCACCCACTCCTCGTTTAGAATGAGAGAGAATAACACCGTAACAAAGCTTGCAATTTGAAAGCATAATGAAACATAAAAGTAACTGCAGCTTTAATTTCTTATCTCATGAAACACAGAACTACTTGAGGCTTGCTGGTTTCTTGATGTTTGCTGTGAGAAAACAGGTCAAAGATCAGCCAGTGGTTGTTCTTTTATCTCCAAGTTGTGCGACTAGCTGACATTAGGGAACAATATTGTTATGCTGTTCTCAATCACTGCGTGATTGGCAGAAAATGCCTGGCTTAATGGGCTTAGGCCAGTTTAATAAGATCTCCCTTCATGTGGCTCTTAGGGGAAAGTCATATCTCCCAGAGCCTGCAGGACTCCATCTTATCAGGCAAAGCAGCGCTGGGAACACTTAACTGAGGGTGTCTGAGCTCAGAGAAACCTTCTCACATTTCAGGGATAAATTAAGGTACTGTGCTGTGTTATGGTAAAGCCATTGCTCTAGCATTTACCTGTCCCAAGCCCCACAGCTTGTGCTAGGTTCTTTGAAACCTCAGCAGATGAGCACATCTGGAGTAATGGTATGAATTCCACAAGCAGCACAGACATATTAGTAGGAAAACGCAAAGACCGCTTGAACAAAGAGGATTTACTTTTTACTTATGGAACTACAAATAACCCTGAAAACACTAGTCTTTGTCCACACTCAGAGAAAGAACAGAGCAGCTGATTACTGCTCTATTAAACTGCCGTGTGCTTGTGCATCTATTTCAGGCGGTAAAGGAACTGAACTTTCAAGTCGTTTCCTGCGCGCCTCCCTCTTCAGCTTGGCCGGCCAGTTGGGAAGGCAGGGCGCAGGTGGTAACTGAGCGAAGGCAGGCATCCTGATGTGAAATCTAATTGAAATGTGCAGATCAAAAGTGTTGAGTGGTGCCGAGCACTGGCTTTGCTCTGTGCTTAATGACCGTTCTCAGCAGTGCCTCTCTGTGTCCTCGCTGCAGGCTGACAACTACACGGTCTCAACAACAGCTTGGCAGACACAAGGAAAGGTCACCCTGCCTCTCCATCACTTACACTGTGTCAAGCACCATTACATTAGGCAGGGGCTAATGAAAACATTAACTTGGGCTTTTGAATGGGAATTAACAGGTGCAGCGATGAGCCAGATGTAAATGGAAAGATGAAAACAAAAGGAGTGGCTTTACAAATATGGCACTAATCTGCTGAGCTGAAAAGTTATTTCTGGTAAAGGAGCTGAAAAAAAAGCTCTTTAAAATTAAATAAAAATAAAGCTTTTTGTAAAGTTTGTTATATATGTTGTCTTTAAGTTCAAAAACACATTTAGAACACAGTCACGTTGAGAGAAGATTCGTACGCATGAGTGAAGGAGTGTGGACAGGAGTTATATATGATGTCTGTGAGTGAAGCACAGCTGAAATGAACATGGCATTTTTGTCGCTGCAAGAGGCTTTGTGCGTGTAAATTAGTGTCAAAGGGAGATTGACGGATTACCTCTCCGAGCCGGCCTGCATGTCAAATTTTGTTCCTCTGAAGTCACATACGTCCAATCTCTCACACCGACTGTGCTCCTCTCTATCAGTCACTTTGTCATGCTCCCGTATACCCACAGCAACACTATTACTTTAATTACCTTGTGCTTCTTCCTCCTGATTGGCTGCTTAGCCAACAAAGTCTGTATGTACTTGTTGAGGCTTCTGAGTAAAATTGCCATTTCTTCATGAAATGAAGACGGTAAACCAGAAAGATTTCCATGCACCTGTATCTAAAACAGTTCGCTGTTGTCTGGTAGGAAAAATAAAATCACACACTTCTAGACTGACCCTGGACTCCACACCATAATTTTCCCCAGCCCACTAAATCACTGCAGAGCAGCACACAGTGTCCTGCTGCTCCGCAGAACATGAGATAATGACAACATAAGCTCAGTATTATGAGGCTTTTTAGACCGCTTCCATCTGCAGGAGCTTTCTGGATGGTGGATTATCTGACAAGGAAAGGGCTTACCGTCCTATCACAACACTCAGGGCTTCCTTTCCAGTTACTGCCACTTAAAATGGTCGTCCACATACAAGTATGCATGTGTGAAATGGAAGTCGAGTTCAAGATTATGTACCGCAATATTTCCTTTACATTCAACCTAAGAAGTGCGGTAATTGTTTCATCTGCCAATCAACTTAATTTGTGATTGGCATAAATTATTTTAAAAATTAAACTGTGCTCGTGTTGGCATGTAGATTAAGATATGTAGATACATCATTTCTTCTAACCTAGTCATTCAAATGAAATGGGATGTCTGCCATACCTGTGTTCATTTCTTCAATAAAAATACTGAAAAATATTTGTTAATGAAAACAAGACAAACCAAACAGGCCACCTTTGTAACCAAGAACTATGATGTAATGTTTCATATTTTTTTCACAGATAAAAATTAAACACTAAAGTCAAATATAGATATATGGAGATTAAGTAATTACCATCCCAATACAAAGTATTATTCAACAACCTGCTGCACAAACTGCAGCTCCTGATGAGTAAAACAGTTCCTTGCACTACCCAAGACGTCGTGTTTAAAGGCTGGTTTAGCCACTTGACCTGTTGCACTACGATTAATAAGAAGCATCTTAGATTTAGCAACCTTCTGTGTGTCATCTGATGGTACCGGTGCCTGAAGAGAGTTCATAAAGTGTATTTGATGACATTCCGCTAAGAATCAGACAATGCAAAAAAAACAAAAAACAAAAAAATAACAACAACCCTCAAGTCAAACTGAAAGTGCAGGCAGCACGCCGACGTTTATGAGAAAAGATAATAGAACACAAAGTACTGTGGATATGAAAGTAACATTAACATAACTTTCAGTCTTTTCTGTTGCTATCCACAGTAAATTCCTGGATTCATTTTAGTAATCACTGATCTAAATCTTCCTCTAGACGTCTACTACAGAAATATAGCTTTTAATGCTATCTGTCAGTTTGGCGTCTCCTCTCAAGCTAAACCCTTTGAACAGTGTTTTAATCATAATGTGAGTGAATCTAGCTGCTGAATCACTCGGTGCTCTGCAGAGCAGAGCGACATGGACACTGTGTGTGTGTGTGTGTGTGTGTGTGTAAGTGTGAACAAACAGCCTTTTCCCACTAACCTCACCACAGGAGGAAAGAGTAACCATGGTAACTGTACACAACAAAGATGGTGACGTCTTTAGCTTTTGTTAACTAAGAAAAAGCAAAAAATTTGACTAAGCGGAATTTTTATTTTCAGCAAAATAAACTAAATGAGGTGCAAACAAACAACACTGCTATGTATTATCTTTAAAATCCTTTACAGTCAATTATCAATTGTATAATTCATAAAAATTATCATTCGGTTTTATACTCTCTTATGTTCTTGCCTGTAAGAGTTAGACTTAAGGTTAACCATAAAACCTCTACAGACTACAGTATAATTGTGGGTGGGAGTGCAGGATTCTTCACTGGGCTTGGTGGTCCTGTGTGCGCTGGGCTGAAGGCGAAGGCTAAACTCATGTATTTACACCCTCATCCCCTCTCAGGCTCAGGCCTGAACAGATGGTTTCTGTTTTTCCTGGCAGATTTGTGACAGAGCCACAAAAGGCCTCTGCTTTGACATGAAGCCAAACGGTTAAGGCCGTTACTGGCAAAAGCAGGGGAAGGAGGAGAGAACAGCGGAGAGCTGCGGAGAGGGAGGGAGGGAGGGCTGAGCATGGAGGAGAGCCGAGAGGGAGGAATAAAGAGCCAGCCGAGGATAACAATGGACAGTCAACACTGAATCCTACTGCAAGCCTTCCGAAAAACTCTCGACAAATACAAATCTCAGCTAAAAACATAAGGCAATTAAAGCCAGATCTGGGGGAACGAAGAGAGCAGGGAGCGTGTGATTTCTGGGTTCTGGTGGCCGATAGC